ACCCTCACCCTCACCCTCACCCTCACCCTCACCCTCACCCTCACCCTCACCCTCACCCTCACCCTCACTCTCACTCTCACTCCTACGCTCACTCTCACTCTCACTCTCACTCTTACTCTCAGGTCACGCCTTTGAACGTGGGCACGGTCGTAATATTGTGCTCACGAGCGTCGCAATAAAGAATCACTAAACCACCTGTTATTACAGAGGTAAAAAAAAGCGCCATCCTGTCGCCTCATAAAAACACCATCTAGAGTTTCATGCAAATTGACATTGCTACGTGCGCGAAAGTTTTATACTATGGTGCAGTTCCCATAATGCACTGTATTTGAAGAATTAGAGCAATATTACCACTCTCAATCGGTCTTTCGAGAGAAGGTCAACATTGTTGGAAGGATTATATGAACGACTCACCAACTCAAATATTGAACAAACAACGTTTGTAGCAAAATGTCATACATTTTAGAATTGAAAGGTCATGATTACTCTTTTCGTATTTTTTTTTTAAATTTTGCTGGTCTTTAAGTTTCTTTCGCTCAGGTCACAGAGGCGCGTATTAACCGCAATGGCAATATCGCTGAACAAATTGGAATGCATCCCCTTGTACGAGTTAGAGTTTGTTTTACCTAATCTCTCAGTGACATCGTATTGCAATCTATTCATTTCAGATGGCCTCATATAATCCTTTTGTTTATGAAGAATCCACACTTCGCCATCGTCTTCTTATTGGTCGAAGCAGAATTCCCGCAGTAAGCATGACTTTGTTCCCTTTGTGATGAAGATTGATAATTGCTTAAATACTATGAGAGAAGCACATTAACGAAGAACTTTTTTACGCAGTCAGATTGTAACTGTCTGAACGTATGTTTCTATGCAGTTTTTCAAGTTTAGCTTAAGAGAACTTTTTCCTTTTCTCTGTTGTTCTCAAATGTACGTAACGTATGCGAGCGTTACCTGATCCTGACCAATGTTCGGCATTTAATTTCCCAAATTTTTCCTAGGCCTTTGATGTAACGGGGCTTCCAAGCTATGCGCCCGCAGCACATAGCGAAGTCGCCATCACATGTCCGGAATGTCGCAAAGTCAGCAAAGTTCCTCCCGAAGGATTACCCATTAACTATCGTTTGCGAGGTTATCTCAGTTTTTATTTTTCAATAGTTAGTGTTCTTCTCATAATTCTTCGAAAAATTTGCTCAATAGTGAGCAGTGGACAGCTTAAAAGTGTTGATTTGGAGATCAAAAAACCTTTGTTTGAATTTCTCACTCTTTCTT